ATGATCTGGTACATCTGAGATGACCAGTGATGTTAACACAGGTTACAGGTTCAGAGGGTTTAAAGTGGAACACCCAAACAGGGGTGTTAGGTACAGCAATTGGTAGGGAATCTTCAGGTGGACTCTTTAAATAGGTAATATAGAAAAGTTACACATGTAGCCAATTGTACACTCTTCTGTAGCAGTTCATTGAACTACAATACTGATAAGTGATTAATAAAAGTCAAAAGACCAAAGAGGTTACCCTAAAAAAAAAAAATAAATAAAAAAATAAATATGTCTAATTTATTCAATATATTATATCTATTTACATATTATATTTGTATAATATAGGAATTATTTAATATATATATCTAACAATTCTAATATTCAAAATCTATATTAGTTATATTTTTAAATTTGCAATATAAAATTTTTAGAAAATTATATAATACTGCATTTATATAACTAATTCTACTATATTCTAATATTAATCCTAATTTTAATGCTAACTATACTGTATTAATTAATTTAAATCTGGCTATTTTGCTGTGCACTAAATTACATATATATTATATTAGTATATTTTTTAAAATTTTTATTAATAATTATTACTGTTTTTGTTTAAAAAAAAAGTAATAGATTAAAGTAAAAGATATTTAATAAATAAGATGTTTTATAGTTAATTATAGACTTAATTAAAAAAAATATTAAAGATTAATTTTATAAAATATATTAGAATAAAGGTTTAGAAATAATATAAGTTAGAATAACAAAGATAATGTAATATTATAAATACTTTTACATTTTAGCTAAATCTTTTTATAAAATATTAAAATTTTTTAATATTATTTGAATTATATTTATTTTTATATTTATAATAGTTGATAAATTGTAAATATTTTTAATATTTAGAAATAATTATCTGCTTTAGTTATCTTTATTACTTTTATTAATTATTTCCATTTATATAAAAAATTTTGTATATTATTTATTAAAAAAAATTACTATAAATAATTCTTGATATAAAAAGCTTTTAATATAAAAAAAACTAAATTAATTCTAAATATATATAAAAACTAACTCTAAACTAGTTAATAATAAATTTACTTAATATAAAAATTGTTATTTTTATTAATAATTTTTTCCTTTTGAAGCAGCAATCTTGCCTGTATGTCTTTTATTAAGTAACATATATAATTATATTATTATATACAAAGTCTATTAATAAGGCTAAATTAGTCATATATACAACTTTAGTTATTATCTATTTAAAGGTTCTGCCTGCAGATTATCTACTAATTGCCATATCTGAAACATGCCTATGGGTTTCTTATTTAAAGTCTCTGATTTTAACACTATTGCATATATGTACAGCCCTTACATTACTATTATATTGACATATTAGGTTAGGGCTACCTGGTTACTATTTATATCAAAGTACCACTCTATTGAATATTATCAAGTATTCATAGCCCTCAATTCATCCTTGATGCAAGCTTACTAAGCTGGTACCAAGATTATCACTTAGATTTAACTTAGTGTAACCTGTATCTACTAAACTGGTTTTAATGCCAGAGATGTTCAAATTTTAGTAAGTTCATTCTTTTTCTATAGATTCTTTTTATATTCACCATATTACCTGCTAGTGCACCTTTTCTTTATTTTTGGTATGTCTACTGCTTCTCTCATATCGAGTGTCAACTCTCTATATTGGGAAACTTCTTTCTAGGAACTTCCTTATATACTGATCTTTTATTTACATAAACTTAACCACAAGGCTTCATGTATATTTATATGTTTCTATAGATTACAGAGTTTTTGCTTCTAGCTGAAATTGAACTGTTGATCTTGTCTATAGAGGAAGAGGTGCCTAGACCACTAGGTTATGAAACCTCATCTTTTTTTATTAATATTATTTTAAGTATCAAAATTCTAATAATAGGGGTTTGTATTAAGATTTTGTATATTGGAGTTTTGTTGTATTAAGAGTTTAAGTATTAAATTTTAAATAATTAAATTTTAATATTGTTAAAATTTTGATTTGTCAGAATTTTATGTATTATAAATTTGTTATTACAATTTTATATATTAGAATTCTTATATACAACTATAAAGAAGAAAAGATTAGGTATATAAAAATTAAATGATAGTTGTTTAAAATAAAGATAATTATTTTTTATTTACTATTGTTTATCTTGGTAAAAACAAGCTTTATCTACTTTATTTTTTAAAGAGATTAGTAGATACAAAGATGTAATGATTACTTAAGCAGACTATATAACTTTGATTGCAAGAATTAAGGTTTCACAACTGCAGTAGCAATACAAGAATCTTAATAATAAGCTTAATGCTTTACAGTAACAATAATATAGTGTAAGAACATTTATTAATAAATAGTTAAACTTAAAGTAGTAAGTGGGAACTTTGATAATGAGTTTTGAATCTACAGTTGCAATAATAGTACAAAAACCTTTTATTGTAGCTATAAAAGAATACAAAAATTTATATTTATAAATAATTAATCTTTACAAGTATAATAATAGTGCAAAGACCTTTGCAGAGTTTAATGTTTTTTTAAAATAGATACATCTGATTCTCTTTTAGTTATATAAATATTTATTATTTTTTTGATTACTTTGTTTTTTGTAATAAAAATGCAAGTATTGAAATTTTGAAAATTTGAAGAATTTTGAAGACTAAAAGATCAACAGATTATATTCTGTTATGTTGGATATATTTTGATTTAGTTTTAAATAATTGTAAAATAGTTACAAAGACATTGTTTAAGTGTATTAAAGTGCAAACATATAGCTAGACTTAGCTTAGATAACAACTTTATTTATATATATTTTTTATTATATAGCAATAAAATATATGATTAAGTAATAATAATTAATTATATTGAAATTATATCTTTAAAAAGAATTGTTCAAAACTTATTACATTTGTAAGATTATAATTATTTGTGCCATTTAATATAATATACATATTGTAATAAATATGATACAAAAAAAAACATTGTTATAAAATTAGTATATACTAAGTTTAAAAAATAAAAATAATTATAACAAATTTCAATTAAATTAATTAAGAGCATAATAATAATAGTAGATTTGAATATAAAGTATAGTACAAATACTAAACTATTTCTTATATGAATTAATTAATTAGCTAATTAAAATAAAAATGTTAATATGAATAGCAATCTATTGAAATAAGTTAATATAAAGTAAACTAATAAAAAAAGATGTATTCAGACAGTTTAGTTATAAGTCGTTATTACTAATAAAATACAAGTTGATGCATATAATACCAAACTACAATAATAAATATCTAATGTGTTCTGAAGAGATGCAGATCTATGATTATTTTAAGTTATATATAATTTATAAAAAAATATGGTTTAACAAGCTTGTAAAAAACATCTTCAAGGTCTTTTAAAAAAATCATCTTATCTTCAAATCTTTTTAACAAAAATAAAAAGAAAAAATAATAATATATAATATCTTTATATAAGATTTGGCATTGTTATACACTGACCTAATAGGAAGAAATGCTAATTCTAAATCATATTTTTTTTATTATCAAAAAATAACATAATTACATTATATAAGATCTGGTACTGCTATACACTGACAGATAAGAAAGAACACTAATTCCAGATTCTATTTTTCCTTGATCATCAAAAATAATAGAGTACTGAAAAACAAGAAAGATAATATAATCAAAGTCTGTATATACAATACCTTAATAAATAATATGTAATATAACATCATAAAGTAATATATATTTTCGTGCAGACAAAGCTTGCAACAGTTACTCCCTGGAGGATTATAAAAAAAATTGGGGTTATATAGCAAATTAAATTAGATGCCCAATATTTTATTAAGAATTCATTTTCATAATAAAATTTTGATATAAAAATTTCATAAAATTTTTTTATTTCAAATAATAATCCTCTTAAAATTATTATATTAATTAATAAATTTAAATAAGTCTAAGCTAGCTTTCACATTTTAAATACAAATAAGTTACATACTATATTTTGAATAAATTAACTTTAGATCTATTTTATATTAATACATTTATTAAATTTGGCTCGGATTTATTTTAATCCAATTTGGATCAAAACCAGGTTTATTTGAACCCACTTCAGATTTGATTAGTTTAAACTCATTTCAGTTTACACTTAATTGCACTTTGTAAAAATCTATTTAAATTCACTTTAGATTCGAATGAACAGTATTTAAACGTACTTCGTGCAGTTTTGAAGCTGGCTAAACTTCATGTTAATTTATCTATCATAAACTCTTAACCTTGTCGAATTATGCAAACGCACATGAGTATTCTGAAAATGTTAGGATCAGCAGCATACAGCAGTGGGCGTTGTTTCTCGCTTAAACAGTAAATTACTTCAATAAATTTTTAGTGCATTAATAAAAGCTGTGGTTAATTAACTAATAATAGAGAAAAAGAATTCTTTTATTTGGGTTAATTACAAAATCACTCCCTAGTAAGATTTACACATTAGTAAAAAACGTTAACTTTATACGATGCTTACTGCAGAATTTTATGCGTACAACAGTATGCCTTCAAAAAAAAAAAAGGATCTCATCATTATAAATCTAACATGTTTTAGTCATACTTGAAGTTGAAACTTCATGGAGTTGCACTGACTGAATTACCACCGAAATTAGATCTTGCATACGTTAGTAATTTTAGGAGTTTCACACAACATTAATCCGATTTTATTGACAAACGGAAATTTAGTCCCATCAAGTGAGCAATTATCAAACAATGAAAAATCAAAATTTAGCTTATGTTTCATTTAATGATTTCTGACAACTTGTCTAATCACCTCTCTCAAGAAATATTAAATTGATTTTATATTAGGTTGGAAGACAACGTCTATATTTAAATTTAATCAAATTCAATCAAAATTTAATCGAAACTTCATGTTTTTTTTGTCATTTTATAATTTATCTATCTTCATTACAAAGCTTACAATTTGATTGAATATGACCAACGTTATATATGATCGTGAAGCATTGCTCAGAACAGTATCTACTTTTCCTTTAATTGACAATCATTGTCATAATATTTTAACGTCTGATGCATCATCGATTTGTCCGTTGGAAGTATTCTTTTCGGATGCCCATGGTGATGCATTAAAAGATGTGCGCCAAATTAGTGCCATAAAAAGAGGTGTACGACAACTTGCTGAACTTTATAATTGTCCACCAACCTTAGATAATATCAAACAAGTGAGGAATCTAATGTCATATAATGATATATGTATAACTTGCTTTAAACCTACTGGCATCCAATCCTTATTTTTGGAAGATGGGCTTGATGCATTAGGTGGTCTTATGAATGTGGAAAGTCATGCAGGATTAGTTGACACAGCGCGAAGAATTGTGAGGATTGAAAGTGTTGCTGAAAAGATCTTGTATGATCTTGCAAAATCTGTAGCTTCTACAAATCAAAAAGTGCTGAATTTTGCTGCGTTAGAAGAACCATTGAAAAAGCAACTTGAAGCCTGTGCAAAATCTGAATCAGTGGTGGCCTTCAAAAGCATTGTAGCTTGTAGGCCAGGATTAAATATATTTTGCAATCCAAATAATAATGATGATGTAACAAGTATTTTAGGAAACTTGGTTTCTGATTTTGATTCATTACCCGATAAGAAGGGATCTGTTAGACAAGTTATTAGAATCCTAATTGATTACATATTGAAACTGGCAATCGATATTGCTGTTCAGCACGATATTCCTATTCAATTTCATACAGGCACGCTAGATAAATATCATGTCTTTAAATTGAATCTTAACGAATATTAAATAGATAAATCTTAATATTACAGGATTTGGTGGTTCTGATCATGACCTAATTGAATTTAATCCGCTTTTGCTAAGGTATGAATAATTTCATGCTAGGTACTTATTTATGCGTTATCAAACCAACAATTATATCCTTATGATTATTCTGTACGCCATTTCTTTAAGACCTTTGATTGAGGAATATCCCAATGCAAAGTTCGTTCTTTTGCATGCGGCGTATCCTTATTCCCGACAGGCGGGATATCTTGCTTCAGTATATTCCAATGTATATGTTGACATTGGTCTTGTCTTTCCTTTGATTTCTGCGTCTGGTCAGCAAGGCATTTTACGTGAGCTGGTAATTTATAATATTTCATATGGAAACCATTTTAATTATTTTGTAAATCTATTAATAATGAAATGGTTTTATTATTTCCGAATAGTTGGAGATTTGTCCAAGTAACAAAATTTTATTTAGTACAGGTACTATGAGTCACTTTTTGATACATTTAGCATTTTTTATAATGAACTGGCTGTTCTTATAATAAAAGTTTTAAAGTTCTTTATGAATAATTTATTATTATTTTATGCCAAACTCTATAATAATTTGATTTTAAAACAAGTTCATTATAAAAAGTTTGTTATATCCAGAGTTGATTGTATTGTATATATTCAATACATTTTTTCTAAAAAAAACTACCATAAAAAATTAGATGGTCACTATCCAGAATCTTTCTATATGGCTGTAATTCGAGGAAGAGAAGCATTAGGCAAGGTAATGTAAGTTATTATATTCGCATTTGATAATATTATTTAAAATTAACCCTACCCTATGAACTATGGTTGTTTTAAAGGTTTTATTAGAGTCTGTAGAAAATGGTGAATTTTCATATGAAGAAACAATAAACGTTGCAAAGCAGATTATGTTTGAGAATTCCAATGTATTATATAAACTTAAATTAACTCCAAAACAGACTGATGATAAAGGTATTTCTGAAAAGAATTTTTTTTTTTTTTTTTTTTTTGCGTTTTAATGTTAATAATAAAATTTTTATAATTGCGTAAAGGATATAGAGATCTTTCGGGAGAACAAAAGATCGTTAAATTAAAAAAAATGGGTGTAAAATTTGTTCGTTTGGGCTTTTTGGAATGTTCTAATCAATATAGATTTCATGTCATTCCCATCGATCGTTTTCAAAACTATATTACTAGCAATGGACTGACAGTTATACGAGCACTCACAGCTTTTCCATATTATGCAGATGAGGTTCTGGAAAATATTGGTGTCACCACAACCGGAGAATTATTGTTGAAACCTGATCTTAATACACTTACTCATTTACCATATAATCCTAAACATGCAGATGTTCAAGCTTTCTTTGAAAATAAATTGACACCAGCAGATCCTCAATTCGGAAAGATTGATAATTCACCTGAATCTCTGGCTTTCCCACTTTGTCCTAGAACTTGTCTTAAAAATATTATTGATGCTGCCCGTAGAGATCTTGGTATTACTTTTTTGATTGGAACCGAACTTGAATTCGTTTTACTTAAAGATGTCGCACCTCTGGTACCCGTTGATTATACTGTTTATGCTGCGGCTAGTTCTTTTCGTACTTCTAATTCCGCCGAAATCTTGGATAAAATGGTTGAGTCTTTACAAGAACAGGGGATCGAAATTGAACAATTTCATTCTGAAGGGGCACCAGGTCAATTTGAAATTGTCACTGGACCAGAGAGCCCATTGACTGCAGCAGATAAAATTGTTGTAGCACGTCAAACAATATATGAAGTTGCTGCTCAGGCTGGTGTAAAGGCAACATTTGTGCCTAAACCCTTTAAAGGACAAGGTTTACTTTTTTTGCCATTATTTTTTTTTTTAATCTATGAATAAGTTTGCATGATTACAAAGTATTTACGTTAATATTTACGTAAATTTTTATTATCAATATTAATTAAGCGGGAACTGGTGCACATATGCATCTATCTTTTAAAGAAATCGACGAGTCCAAGAAAATTATTGACGATCATCCTTCAGGATTATCACCATATGAAAGATCATTCATTGCTGGGGTTTTGCACCACATCAAAGCAATTTGTGCTTTTTCTTTACCAACAGACCATTCATATACGCGCGTTATTGATAACTGCTGGGCCGGATCTTGGATCTGTTGGAGTGTTGAGAATCGGTTAGTATTTCATGCTTTTTTCTTTCTATACATAAAACGATAATTCGCATTGTATATTTATGCAATTTTCCTTAATAATGCTTTATGACAGTGAAACACCAATTAGAGTGTGTTATAGACCAAAGACTGGTCCCGGAGGAAAATACCTTGATGTTCATTTCGAACACAGATTTGTAGATGCTACTTCAAACCCATACCTCGTTTTCTCTGCTCTCATTGCTTCAGGAGTTGATGGAATCAAAAAAGGAATGCAGCTTACTAATAATCCCATGCTCGGTAAGCAAAGAACAAATTCATTATAGATTAAAGTGTTTATATAACTAATATATAAAATTCAATAACAGATAATCCTGCTGCTCTAAGCAATGAAGAACGTAAGAAACAAGGTGTTACTGAGAGAATGCCTGGAAGTCTGTCGGATACATTAAAAGCATTGAGGGAAGACAAAGTACTTATTGGGGCTCTTGGTGAACCTATGATACAATGTTATACTGGGGTAAAAGAGGTAAAGTATATAATAAATACTCTGGCTAATATTTCGAGTGGAGTTGTTCTCAAAAATCTAAACAAAGTTTGAAACTAGTTTTGCAAAGTTACTATAACTCTTGATTTGTTATTAATACTTTCTATAAATTATTAGAGTGAACATAATTATTGTAAATCTTTGAGTCATGAGGAACAGCTCAAAATATTGCTCTCCCTATTTTAACTTTAGTTCATAATCTTGTTTACATAAAATTGAATATCCTTTAAAGACCATTGATATTGACGTGAAATGAATTTTAGAGTGTGATATGTGCTACGTTTTTTTTAATACTCTTTCACGAATTAACTTTGTATATAAAAAATTGTGTTATTTTGATATTATTATATGTGATCTACGATTGTATGTTAATAAAAGCATTTCATGAATTTATTGAATTTATGGTGCTTATGTTTAATTTGTTATCTGATAATTAGCTTATACAAAAGGTATAATCGGATGCATTCTTTATTATGCATAGTGCTCCGAATCGGGCCGGGCTAACCCGAAACCCGACCCGAAATTTCGGGTCGGGTCGGGTTCGGGTTAGAAATTTTTGATCCGAAAGTTTCG